TTTTTTTTTTTTTTTTTTTTTTTTTAATCTATTCATGTTTTGTCAATTATCTTCTCCTCTCCTTTCCTCTTCTTCTCTTTCTCCTTGCTCCAGAAGCAGCTCTGTAGCCTACTTCCCGTGTCTTTGTATCACAAGTACAAAAATAGACATGGCCCACACGAAATTTGGCACAAAAACCTCCTATTTACATCATTTACAAAAATGGTGCAGTTATAGACACATTATTGAGTAATTATGTGCAGAGACTTCGACAGTTGGACGACAATTGTACATCTTGCTGTAATGATAGTACAAAAAAATGATTTAAATTAGTTTATGAAATACGGTGGCCCAACAGGACCGCCGATGCCAACATGAATAAGCTAATACATTCATACAGACACTTCACATCTAACATTACTCGCTAGTAATAAAAAATGCAGTATCAGATACCTCAAAATTTCTTTCAGTATTGTAAACCTCACTTCGTTTCTTTACTCCTCATGTCTTGCACAAATGCTGTCTGGAAACCTTTGGCGTCAAGGGGACTCCCAGCGTTAACATTGGGGCCTTGTGTGTGTGTGTGTGTGTGTGTGTGTGTGTGTGTGTGTGTGTGTGTGTGTGTGTGTGTGTGTGTGTGTGTGTGTGTGTGTGTGTGTGTGTGTGTGTGTGTGTGTGTGTGTGTGTGACTGATGAAATTCATGGCTGGTAAAACGGCTGATTTCAAAAGAGACAATAATGAAATACATTTTTTTTTTTTGTAAAGTAAATATAAGATACAGCAATATGCTAGTTTATCCTATACAGTAGAACGGAGAGAGTCCAAACAACAACAACAACAACAACGGAAAAATTACAAATGGAAACTCACAATGACACTTAGCCAAATTATAATGGTTTTAGTGACCTGGTGCTTGTTCGGTGCTACTCTACTGATATGGAAACTGAGGCTGTTTTGGGAGTGACTTGATAACCACTGGACACAAAGATTTCTTCCCATCTCAGGAATTTACTCTCTAGCTCTTGACGCTCGACTCAAACCAATTGAGCTTTCTCTCTCTCTCTCTTAATTTGGAGATTTACATTTTCTTTCTGAGGTTTATCAATTTTTTTTTTTTATTTCATCATCTTTCATAGTATTGAGCACGATGTATTCTACTCGGGTGAGGTCCGAGGCCCTTGGGGAACGGGTCGTGGGAGGACGCGCGCGCCCTGGCCAGACGGAGGGTCCCCGGGGGAGTCTTACGAGAGTCTGACGCCCTCACACCTCGCGCCCTCACGCCCTCACTTCGCCTCGCTCGGAGCCACTCGCGCGTTGGCTCGTGGCGGCGAGAATGTTCGAGAAGAGCGGCGCGAGTTCTGTCCGCGTTTGTGAAACAAGAGAACGCGAGCACTGCGCTGCGGCGTCGGCGCTCACTGTCCTGGTGGGCGCGGAGGACCTTCGCCCGCAGCCGCGTCAGCGCGTCCATTGGCGCCTCGGAGCCTCTGCGTCAGCGTCGGGTCGCCAGTGATCGCACGCAGGCGTTGGCACTCGCGGCAGAGACAGTCCGCGCCGAGTGCCAACCCGCCAGAGTGCCCTGCAGCCTGGCGCCGCCCGCAAAGGCCCCCGCCCGCATCGGCGGCCGCCCGCGTCGCCCGGGCGGCCTCACACCTGCGTGACGTTCCGCCTCTTCCTCTCCGTGCCGAGGGGCGTGGCCGCCACCCCGCCCAGCGTGAGGTGGGCGGCCAGCGTGGGCTTGGGCGGCGTGGGCGGCGGCACCTTCATGGGCCCCTGGCGCCGGGCGCTCTCCCAGGCCGCGGGCGTGGGCGTGGCGGAGGAGGCGGGCGGGCGGAGGGCGTCGGGGGCGGCCGAGTCGACCTTGTAGGCCAGGAGCGAGTCCGAGGGCTGCGAGGACACGACGGAGCCGCTGTCCATGGCCAGGCTGTCTTCGATGTAGTGGCCGTTGGGCGTGTGGTAGTAGAAGGGGTGCGGGTGGGCGGGCTGCATGGTGGGCATGTAGGGCACGCCCAGGTCGGGGCGGTGCAGCGCCAGCTCGGCCGCGTCGCCGTCGGCCGGCTCGCCCGCGTGGCGCCGCTCGTGCTCGGCCAGCAGCGTGGACGCCGGCCACGACTGGATGGGGCTGAGTGGGCGCTTGCCCTTGGCCTCGGGCTCGCCCACGGCCAGGGCCTCGGGCGGCGGCGGCGGCTTGCTGATGGAGTCGGTCTCGCTGTCGGTGTCGCAGCCGGCGGGCGTGGTGGTCACGGGCTCCAGCACCTCCACCGCCTTCTTCTCCTGGTGGTGGCGCCGCCGCCGCGTCACCACCAGCAGGTAGTACACGGCCAGGATCAGCACCACCACCAGCAGGCCGCAGCCGGCGCCCACGATGGCCAGGATGTCGCGGGTGGACAGCGTGCCGGGCTGGGGCGTGGTGACGCCCAGCTCGGACACGCTGCCGCCCATGGGCCCGCCCTGGGTGGAGCCGCGCGTGTTGATCTCCGTGGTGGTGGGCGGGTGCGGCATGAAGAACTCGGCCGTGTTGGACCAGGGCCCCTTGGCGCCCATGCGGCTCTCCCCGCGGATGGCCGCGTAGTAGACGCCGTCGTGGCGCCCCCACCGCGCGACGTGGCTGGACACCTCGCCCGCGGGCTTCGGCGACGGCCACTCGCGCGCGAACTCGCCCACGCCGCGGCCCGTGGCGGCGGCGTCGCGGAGAAGACCACCTCGTACTGCATCACTGCAAAGGGGGGGGGGGGGGGTTAGGGGGGTCTCTCTACATAATCTCTCTCTCTCTCTCTCTCTCTCTCTATATATATATATATATATATATATATATATATAATATATATATCATGTATTTATATATATTATATTTTTTTCTGACATTGATAGATTGATAAATAGGCAGATATATTGATAAACACATTGACTAGGCTAACCATTGTCAATAGTAATAACAATAATAGTGATGATAGTGTCACTATTTCCCCTACTACTACTGCTACTTATACTTCTGCTAAAATCAGTACTACCACCACCACACTACCACTGCTGTAACTGTTACTACACTACTATTTACTACTTACTACTACTTACTACTACTGCAACTACTAGTACTACTACTATTATTATTACTGCTACTATTACTGATACTGCTACTATTCCTGCTAATATGACTATTGCTGCCACTACCAGCTATTACTAGAACTACTACTACTACTACCAATACTATTACTGCTACTACTACTAACTATTACCAAAAGTACTACTACTAAAATTACTACCATTTCTGTTATAACTACTACTACCATTATTACTACTACCATTACTATTATCACCCGTAGACAACACTAACAATAACTAACAAAACAACTACTATGATAATAACAATAATAATAACAATGAAAAGGAAGGAAAAGGATGTTTATTTTCTTCAGCTTAAACGCATCTGAATGACACGACCTTGAAGATTTCGAAGGTCATTTGGTGTCGGGATACAGTGTCTTAGTATAAATGGGGTATTTGTTGACCCTCCCTCTTTCTGTCTGTTTGTTTGTATATGGTTATATGTTTTTTTTTTTTTTTTTTGTTTCTCTTCCTTCTCTATCTCTCTCTTCCTTCCTTTGTAATACGCTCAATCTATTTTCTGTGTCCCTGTCTGTTAGTCTCTCTCTCTCTCTCTTTGTCTCTGTCTCTCTCTCTCTCTCTCTCTCTGTCTCTCTCTATCTCTCTCTCTCTTCTCGTCCTCTCTTACTCCCTTCCCTCTTTTCTTCCATCCCTCCCTCCTCCCTTCTCTCCATACCTCTCCACTCCTTCTCCCTTCTCTCCCATGCCTCCTTCTCCTTCTCTCCCATGCTTCTCCCCTCTCCATGCCTCCTTCCTTCCTTCCCCCCCTTCCCCCTTTTCCCTTCCCTCCCTCCTTTCCCCCTACTCTCCCCCCGCCCCCTCCTCCGTCCCTCCCATCCCTCCCGCCCTCCTCTCTCCCACCCGACCTCACTCACCCGTCCCATAATCCCTCCACTCTCCGGGGGAGGTCCAGGTGAAGGTGATCTGCTGTGACGCCGGGTTGATCTCCGCCCGGAAGTCCGAGATGCGCGAGGGCGGCACGTGGGACAGGTTCTTCCCGCCGCCCACGATGTCCACGAGGCCTACGGTGACGGTGCGGGAGAGGTGTCCCGTCTCGCGGCCGGTGGTGTAGGGCACTTCCGAACCGCAGCATCTCTGCCAGTCTGATGGGGGAGGAGAAGAAGAAGGGGGTGGGGGGTTAGAATGGGATTCGATTGGGGGGTTGGATGGATGAGGAGGGGCGGGGGGTGGGGGGTTAGAATGGGATTCGATGGGGGTTCTGAACCGCAGCATCTCTGCCAGTCTGATGGGGGGAAGAAGAGAAGAGAAAGGGGCGGGGGGGTTAGAATGGGATTTCGATTGGGGGTTGGATGGATGAGGAGGGAGCGGGGGAGGGGGTTAAATGGATTCGATGCGGGGGGGTGGTGAGGAGGGGCGGGGGTGGGGGGTTTAGAATGGGATTCGATGGGGGTTTCCGAACCGCAGCATCTCTGCCTGTCTGATGT